GGTACACTCGGGATCGGTATTGTCTCTCGGGATCGAGAGATCACCTACCCACGACGCCTATGAGGCGGATCCTCCATCTCCTACAGACAATGTCCGAGCCTTTGCAGATCAAATGGCTCACATGGCTGAGGCTCTGGGCCTGGAGGTCAAACAGACTTCCAAAGCAGTGCTGGACCCTGTGTTCAAAAGGGTGCAGAGGGAGTCTCCACCCGCTCCTCTCCTACCCTTCCTTCCCTACCTCCTCGAAGTGATCCAGGGCTCTTGGAAGACCCCCTCCTCCATCCCTCCAACCTCCAAGAAGATTGAATCTTGGTATAGAACTGATGATGAGGGCTTGGAGTGGCTGAAACACCATCCCGACCCTAACTCGGTGGTCGTGAAGGCAGCTCAAGGGTTCGGAAGGCAGTCCTCGGCGCCATCCGACCGCGAAGGAAAGAGGTTCGATGCAGTGGGCAGGAAGCTTTACTCTGGTGCCCTCTTGCTGGCCCGCATGGCCAACTACGGAGCTTGCATTTATTTATTTATTTATTTTGTATGCTTATATACCGCAATATCTCAGCCTACAACGGCGACTCATTGCGGTTAACAGTACTTAAAAACAACAATAATCAAACAATTTAAAAGCATAAAAAACATATACAGTACACAGTATCGGGCCACCAATACCGACCAATGCATCTCTTAGTTAAAATCATAATCCGAATTCATCGTCAATAATTACCAGTCCTTGTCATCAACTTCATCGCACCGGATTACCCGAATGCTTGTTCAAACATCCATGTCTTAAGTTTTTTTCGAAATACCAACAGCGAGGGAGCTGATCTTATCTCTATAGGGAGGGCATTCCAAAGCCGAGGGGCCACCACAGAGAAGGCCCTGTCTCTCGTTCCCGCCAGCCGCACTTCTGAAGCCGGAGACAGAGAGCAGGGACTCTCCAGAAGATCTTAGGGTCCTGGTGGGCTGATAGGCTGAGATACGTTCGGATAGATATGTTGGGCCAGAACCGTTTAGGGCTTTAAAGGCCAATGCCAGCACTTTGAATTGGGTCCGGTAGCTAATCGGCAGCCAGTGGAGCTGGTACAGCAGAGGAGTTGTATGCTCCCTGCGCCCTGCTCCTGTTAGTACCATGGCTGCCGCCCGTTGGACTAGTTGGAGCTTCCGAGCCGTCTTCAAAGGCAACCCCACGTAGAGAGCGTTGCAGTAGTCAAGGCGGATTGTAACCAGAGCGTGGACTACCGTGGCCAAGTCAGACTTCCCAAGGTAGGGAGCATGGGAGCATACCAGCAAATCCTCTGGGAAAAAGCTGAGCCCTTCTTCCAGAGGATGTCTGAGGAGGATCGTGCTGCCATGAACACCCTGGCTCAGGAGGCAAACTCTTTGGCGCATCACCAGATGCAGATGGCCAAGCACACGGGAGACACCGCGGGCAAGATGATTGCTCACGCCGTGGCAATCAGGAGACATGCCTGGTTAAGATCCTCTGGCCTCTCTACATCGTCGAGGCAGGTGATCGAGGACCTCCCGTTTGATGCCCTGGGACTCTTCAACGCCGGGACGGACGACAAACTGAAGTCAAATCACGACTTCAAGACCTTGGCCTCAAAGTGCGGGTTTGAGAATCAGAACCAGGCACAAAGAACCAGATGGTTCCAGTACAAACGCCGGCACACGGTCCCGTACCGTACCATACAGTACCGCCATCCAGCCCGTCCCCTGCAGACCTCCCAGCAAACCCACCCTCAACAACCCCAACAGCAACGGAGGCAGCACCAGCAGCAGCGTTCGCGCTCTCGTCAGGCTTCAGGAGGCAACCAGGCCAGGCGCCGCATTTGACGCGCTGGCGGACGATACCGTTTACAGTTCCGTTACCGATGTTGCTCCCATGTCCCTCCCAATGGTACCCGCCCTCATCCTTCCATCCGGCTCGACACCGTTCGGAGATCGCCTGACAAACTTTCTCCCTGCATGGGAAAATATCACCTCAGATGCATGGGTTTTAAAGATTGTCGACGAAGGCTATGCATTGGAGTTCGAAGAGCTCCCACCAACAGGGCAGATTGTCGATACCGAGCCATCCTCGGCGATCCTGGCAGAGGTCGATACCTTGCTTCTGAAAGGGGCAATTTCCCCTCTCCCGGACTCGCAAAACCATCGAGCCTTCTTCTCCAGATACTTTACTGTCCCAAAGCCGGATGGCTCCCTTCGCCCCATCCTCGACCTCAGAGACTTAAACTCCTTCATCGAACCTCGAAAGTTTCGGATGGTGACGGTATCGTCCATTCTCCCCTTCCTCAGATACGGGGACTTCTTCGCGTCCGTCGATCTCCGGGACGCTTATTTTCATCTTTCCATCAGAAAACATCACAGACGCTTCCTGGCCTTCAGGGTAGCGGGACAGACG